ATGAATCTAAAATACTAACATTCAAAAGCTTATGTATTCTAGAGAGGCGTGAAACACTTATATTCCACGAAGAATCATAGTTAATGTCAACAAAGATGATACTCATATGCAAGTACATTTTGGTGGATTGAATCAATCGTATAATAGATTTGCCACAAAGGACGCCTTGTTAATTGGTAGCTTGATTTGAGTTTGAAGGATACCAGAATGATGTGAACTTTCAAAATGTGAGTGATGTAGAGTTGATGGCTTAGGCTTTACAAATTTACTTCCAACAAGTTTGTAACTTTGTTCCAAGGTATATATTCCTTTTTTGTGAATTTTGTGGCTTTAATCTTCTTTTTTTTGTGTGTGTAAATAATTGGTATTGAAGTTATGTGATATATATATATATATGGTATCTATTTAATGCTTTGTAGTTTGAATGAATATGTTCTCAAATCTAATGATGGCTTACTGTAGCTAATAAGGAGAACCTATCATTTGCTACCTAAGTTTACCTTTCAAGTAAATTATATTGGGATATTATAATCTAAACGGTAATATTGTAAAATTTACCTCATCATCCGTTGACCTTTTTTTTTTTTTTAATATAAAGCTTACTTTTTAGCAAAATGACAACCATTACAGTAAAAACACTCTTTCTATGAAATAGTGTTTCACTAGTAAATGTTCCGTTCTATTAGTATCATTTCCTACTATGTACAAACTTTTCCACTTTTCTAAAGAAATTAATTAATTTTTACATTTAAGTTGCTACTACTTTCATTATTAGCTACCTTTCTATCGATTGAGCTCTAACTTTCACCTTGAATGCTTGTTCAAGTTCAAGTTTGAGTTCAAGTATTCCATAAAAAGATTGAATTCAAGGTCGAGTAAAGCAATACTCAAATTCGACTTGATTTGAATGCACCCTAGGTTCCACAATGGATTCACCTTCCTTCTTTGTTACAGCTTAGCACTTGGGGACTACAATTTAACTTCAACAGCATTTCCTGGAAAGAAATTCCTCTGAGAGTTCGTCAAAAATTTCAATATATAAGTTAGAAATCCAAATTTGATCCAAAAACTTAAACTGTTAGATACAAACCCTTACTTACATATTAACCCACTATTAATCGCTCTTTTTCCAACTCTTGAACCAGTGTAGGACACAATTCTTTATTCATGAATTTAAGAACCTCCACCTTCATGAGTAACTTCTCACATTAAATCTAAGTTTACAAACTTTTTTTTCAAACCTATTTTAATACTTAATACAAACTCATCTTAACACCTAAAGTCACCCAACCTTTTTTTTCAAACCCACTTTTATACTCAATACAAACCCATCTTAGCACCTAAGGTCACATTTTCTTTCAATTATGGACAGACTCTTTTTCAACATCCAAATTGGATTTCAGACCCTTGCCAACTATATCACTACCAACCCTTGACTTCTTGGTTTAACTTTAACCAGATCCCTGGCCAAACTCATAGTGCACTTGATCCAACGTCAAGCTAACTCCTTGACATTTCGGTTTATTATCAAGAGAATTGTTAGTGGTCCAACTCTAAAAAAAATCCACTTGTCCATAAGTAGTCCAGACTCATAACACTCTGATACAATAACCTGGACTTGCAACCAGAAACTCCGGTACAACTTGTTAGGGAGAAATATTTTAAGAGAATCCACTAAAGAACCCAATATGTAAGTTCAAAACCCAGTTTTGATCCAAAAGTTTAAACTAATAGGTATCGAACTCTTACTTACATATTAACTACTTTTTCTCCAACTCTCAAATTAATATGACACACAATTCTTTAGTCATGAACCTAATGAAACCCAAGCAGGGTCTAATGATAGTGATAAGTTACACCTCATCATTATAGTTATTACCACGAACTGATCCAAATTACATATAAATCGTGCGTATGACATTACTTGCATGTCAAATTGGGACTACGCCAATTTATGAAGTCAACTAATTTTTCCATCGGGAAAAAATCCACTTTTCGTCCCCAAACTTTATGTCAGAGACACATTTCGTCCCTCAACTTTCAAGTGGTACACATTTGGTCTCTGAATTAATTTTTTTTGGACACATTTGGTCAGAAAACGTTAATTTGTCAAAATTGGACGGAGAAGGTCACGTGCGTTGCGCATGGCCGTTAAGTGATACACAAAACTCAGTCAAACAGTCAAAATCAAACAAAATTTCCCCAATTTCATCTTCCCATTCTCTCCTCCATTCTGATATTTTGCCCGGCGACAAAAAGTTGCAATTGAAAACCCTAGCTTAAAAAATTGCATTCTACGATGAAATTGAGCTAAGTGGGGGAAAGTGTTTAATTAGATTGGCTTGTACAACTAAGAACTTAGTTGAATCAAGTGTAGTTGCCCTAAAAAATGAGGTCCAGAAGCTCGGAAGCCTCCTCGAATTCGTCCAACAACTGCCGTGTCGTGTGTGGGTGTGGATTAAAAGCAAAATTGACCACTTGCTGGTAGGATGACAACCCTGGAAGAAGATTTTATGGTTGTCCACGATGGCCGGTAAGCTTTTGTTATTTTGTTGGATATTTTGTGGAGGACAATTGTGAAAATTCGTTCGATTTCTGATAATGTACAAATGTAATTGTATTACAGAAACCGAATAGATGTAAATATTTTGAATGGTTGGACAAACCAATCTGTGTAAGAGGAAGGAGCATCATACCTGGTTTGCTGAGAAAGATGAATCGAATGGAGGAAACAATTGAAAAAAAGCGTAGAAGGGAAAAAATTCTGATTTGCATTATCTTCTTGTTAGTTATGCTTGTTATTGTATTAGTTGTTGGAGGAAAGAGTCGACATACAAAAGAGGGAAAGTTTATGCTTAGGTTGGAGTGAAATAATAGCTGGGCAGATGGCAGATTGTAGAAGTAGTATATGTAATGCAGTATTGGCCCTGTTTTTGTTTGTTTAACTGGGCGAATTATTGTAATAGTGTGCAGAATTTGGTAATGAATGACAATGTCTTACTTTTGACTTTGGCAATTTACTTGTGTTGTGTTTCCAGAAGAATACCAAGTCAGCAATAATGAATGAGAGATCCAGTTGTAAACCATTCAATGTAGACAAATTATCATCATTTCCATTTCAACAACTAAAATTAACATCAAGTTTGCCACTTGTTTGTGGACTATAGACATAAACCAAAAGTTGATCTAAAGCAATAAAATACTAACATGTCATTGTCTATCACCAACAAAAGACTAATCTAAGGCATCTGCCAAAAGCTAATCTACGGCAACAAAAGACTAACATGTCATTGTGTCATTATCATGGACACAAAAAAATAGCAACAAAAGACTAATCTAAGGCATCTGCCAATGCAATGTAGGACTATTTCATTTTTTTCCCCTTCAGTCCAGAATAACCAACAACACTGCCAGTTACAATATCCAAATGTCCAGACTTTATCTTGAGAGGAACATCATCCTTTTTTTTTTTGGGTGTAAAGGCTGACTATACTTCACTAGAGACCTTCTTAGGCCAAAAACCTCATACAAATTTGGTGAAGATGGAGCAGCTGTTGTGCCAATACCATCAACAACCTCATTTGGTGTAGTTGCATCCTCCTTCCCCTGATCCTTCATTTTCTACCAAAGCAACAAAAACATTATGTGGGAAGGTGACCAAATGCAGAAATAATCAAAATAGCAAAATCGTTTACTTTTTTTTCCTGTTGTAGCCTCCTTTCTTTTCTTCTTTCTTTTCTACAAAATCAATGAAACAAACTAGTAATAAGTTGAAGAATGATTGTAGTAACAGCAATATCAGAAAAATGCAAAACGAATATCTACCTTAGATACCGTGTCAACTAAGTTGTTTTCACAAATTTGGGGAGTACATGTGAGTGGTACTTCAGCTTCATTATATTCTCTGGAGTCATCTTCAACATTTGCAGAAGTATTTTCTGGAATTTGGGAGGCTGCTAGACCTACTTCAGTAGAAGTAGCATTTTGCTCATCCTTTCTAAGCTAGCAAGACCTGATATTGTGGTCTTTTTGCATGCAATATCTGCACTTGATGATTTGCCCAACTCTACTCATTTTCTTCTTGGTATATTGCTTTTCCTTTGTTGGCTCCTCTTCATCTGCATTTCTTCTTCTTTGTTTCTTGGGCCTTCCAACTAGTTTCTTGTACAGGGGGAGTTTTGGACCACTTACACCAATGTTCTCCCAATTTATTTCTCCACTCATTGGAGACACACAGTCGTCATAACACTTCAAGTATTTCTCCACTGTGTACCAGCTGGAAACAAACTGCATTGGATCCTTTTTTGCACTCTAAAGTGCAGATATAGCATGGGAACAGGGAATTCCTGTCAGTTCCCATCTCCTGCATGAACAAGATTGCTCCTTGATGTTGACAGCATAATGATCACCATATGGGCAGGAAACCTCATACAGATCATCACTTGACTTGAAAGGAAAGCATTGGGTGGCCTTCTCCATTCTTTTTTGTATTCTATCAACGATCCTAGGACAGTATGCATTGTCTTTCCATCTTGATCTAACCAAGTCTCTATTTTGCTGCATCCTTTGCATCAAATATAGCCTCAACAATTCCATCATTTTAATGATTAGTTTCTCCCTAGTATCGACTATTTTGCTGTTAAAGCACTCACACAAATTATTCAATAAAATATCACATTTTGAATAAGTGCTAAAAAAGGCTCTACTCCATTGAGTTGGGGGTTTATCATCAAACCATCTAGCTGCATCAATGTCAATTGCTGCCATTTCCTCTATTTTGCTGGAAAATTCAGCTAGTGTAGTTGCCTTTGCAACAGTCCATAACGCTTTTCTGAAAGCTTCTCCTTTGAATCCAGCACTTGAAAAGTTTGCATGCATGTGTTTCACACAAAACCTGTGAGCTGCATTTGGGAAAACAAGGTCACAGGCCCGAATTAGGCCTTTTTGCTTGTCACTCATGATTGTCAGCTCATAATCCCTCTCTATCTTTAAATCTTCCTTTAGCAATTTAAGAACCATGCCCAAGATTCTTTGTTTTCTCCCTCTACTATGGCATATGCAACTGGATAGATGCTGTTGTTAGCATCGAATCCAACAGCTATCAATAGAACTCCCCCAACTGACCCTTTCAAAAATGTACCATCAACTCCAATCAAAGGCCTACAACCATCTAAAAATCCTTGTTTCACTCCATTGAAACACACGTACAGCTTTTGGAACCTCTGTTGTTGTGTTGCTACACTTGTAGATTCATCCACAGTCTTCAAAATGATGGAGCTACCAGGGTTGGATTTCTGAATTTCATTCATGTATGCTCCCAACTTGCCATATTGATCACTTTCACTGCCATGAATAATCTTAAAAGCCCTATTTCTAGCTCTATATGTTTGTTTTTTGGAGAAAGAACATTTATTTTCCCTCATTACTGTCTTCCTAAAGTGCTCCATATTCACCTTTGGATTAGTCCTAAACTCCTCAGCATATTTTCTACTAACCCATCTAGAATTTACTAATGAATTGTCATAGGTAAAACCACATGTATGAGTGTCCTCAATTGTCTTGATTTGCACACTACCCTCATCTGCCAATTTTCTTGCATAAATCTCCCAATGGCAGCCTTCACTTCTACACTTAGCCCTCACTCTTAATCTATCCTACTTCACAAATTTACATGGCCTACCTTGTCTAATACTATAATTAGTCACAGCCAACTTGCATTCTTTTATACTACTAAATAACATTTGTAATTTCAACTGTGGATTATCCATGTCTTTTGGGTTGAACACAATATTTTCACTCGTATTTATTTCTTCATCTGATTCATGGACAATCTCAAAATCAGATTCAGAATCAGGGGCAACATCTATATCTTCGGGCATCACCAAACTATCATCTTTTTCAATTTCGGTTGTCTTATTTTGCACACCAATCTTATGGTGATCTACACCTAACCATTCTGCAATGTCATCTACATTTTCATGGAACTCATTATCATCATCACCAGTCATATCAATCATACTATAATCCGAATCCACTGCAGAGAAGAAAGATTCACTCCCTGAATCACATTCATTGTTTTTTTCCCCATCAGCTCCATTGCTATTTCCTTCCCCTCTATGGTCATCATTAGCTGTATTATTCACTCCACAGCCATCAGTTCTTTCATCATCACTAATTTTATATGGATCATAGTCTAGTTGTTGAACTAAGATTTCATGGAATGAGACCTCAAGATATAAGATAATTTCCCTAATTAAACCAGTATTCATCTTAATATATCCATTTAATTGTCTATGTCACGCCCCATTTTTTGAGAAAAAGTAAAGCAAGTAAAGTTGTTTGAAGTCATAATGCGTAGTGTGCATGAAATGTGTGAAGTGTGTGAATGTGAGAAATAAAGGGAAAGGCCATGGGACTTTTTAAATGTGACGGTTTGGCCAAAATGATAATCTAAAAATGTTTTTAAACATAAAAGTAGGAGTCGCCACTGGGTATTGAGTTGAGGTGTACCAATTTACCCAAAAAGCAGTTTTTGAAAAAAATGAAGCAAAAACCTTTTTAGATGACTCCTAATCTACGAAAATCAAAGAGACGAGTTCGGGGGTCACGGTTGATAAAAAGGAAGGCAAAAACAAAGTCTAAGGCACCCTTTTACCCTAGCCTAAGGTAGTTGCGTAATTTAGTGACAATTTTCCTAATTTCTACCCAAAAGATGTATTGCATTTTGGATGTGTTTAACATGAATGCAAACCTAAATCTAATGATTGGTTCGAAAGGAACAAAATATCTCTTTTAAGGCTCGATTGGTCCTAATCACATGAATTGTGATAGCCAATGTTGAATCCTCAAAGAGGTCACGAATAAATAGAAATGAATGCTCGAGTAATAATGAAAAAAAAAAAAGAAGAGTGTGTGAAAATGTCTTTGAGTGTAAAAACGAGTGCCAGGTGCAAATATGCAAAGTGCAAGGTGCAAATGGGTGTGTAAAGTGCAAGGGTGCAAATGAGTATGTAAAAGTGTAAATGTATAGATGTGAGAGAGTGTAAAGTAAAGTGAGAGTGCAAAATGAGAATTTTGTAAGTGGGAGTGCGAAGTGATAGTGGGTAACGTGATAGTGTGCAAAGTGCGAATTTTGTAAAGTGATAGTATGTAAAGGGTAAGTGTGCAAATGGTAATGTGTCTTGAAAATGCATGAGTCCTAGAGGAATGTAATCAAAACGGGTGCGGAGAGATCCTAAATCGTGACTTTTGATTTGCCTTTTGGTTAGAAAGGAAACAAGCGTGCCAAGGCTATGTGTAGCCTTACTCGTCTATTTCCCTTACCAAAAGGGTGACTCCCTAACCTAATCAAGCAGATGAACTAATAATTCAGAGGGATTGCCACTTGATAAACCCAAAGAGATAAAAGAGACTATGAAATAGAAGAAAAATATTTTATTTATACAAAAATGATGAACATCTCAGTAACATAAAAACAATGACTTATTTTTATTGAAAGAAAACTAATTTTTGAAGAATGAACCTGTAAAATCAACAATTTATGTTTGATAAACCAAAACACTTTGATCTCGAACCAATTGCCACATTTCATCCCTTGGATATCATCTTTCCGGAATTCAATGGTGGCAACTGAGCCACAAGGAATAGCAAGTCCAATGAACTGAGTCTCTAGCCATTTCATTCCAAGCTCGCCTTTCATCATAAAACCCTACCTTAACGCCCTTTCGGGTTTTCACTAAGTCTATCACGTCACCTTTTATTTTCTTTTTTCTCATTTTTTATTTTTCATTTTTTTCTTCTTCTTTTCCCCCTTTCTCTTTCTTCTTTTCCCCTTTTTCTAAAGGTACCCTTTCGAGTTTTCACCTGATGAACAAAGCCTACCAATAGCTTTTATCAATTTAGAAATGTGCTTTAAGAAATGATGGCATCAGTGCAACAATTCTTCCCTTGCAAAATTGGTGAAGGCGTATTGACATCATTTACCATGTAATTTATAAAATTTCCTAAAGGAGGTGATGCAAAGAACGGAAGCCAGGACTTTTAGTTTTTGTAATGTAGTCAGGTGAGGTGTTAAAAAATGTTAAGGATTGAAAGCGGATTTTAAAAGTGATTTAAATGATTTGAAATCGCATTATTGTACCAACCCTATTTTAGGATTAAATCAAAACTTGCTTCAGTTTATTCTCAACTAAGGTTCTCTTCTCTTTCATTTTCCTTTTTTTCTTCTCTCATTCCTTTCATCCTTTAAAATTTTCAAAATTTTCCCAATTTATTTTTTTGACTAAGGTTTTCTTTTGCTCATTTCCTTTTCTTTCAGCTTTCCTTCCAAAAATTGAATTTGCCCTAGTGTGGGGTTTTTCTTCTCTTTTCTTTTTCAAAACTAAATTTGCCATAGTGTGGGGTTTGTGATTCTCAGGGGTTGCCAAACGAAATTATTTATTCTGAAGGTTCAAAAGGGATAACTAGGGATATAATGTCTCAATAGGAAAGGAAGAGGGCCTGACTTTCATTCCATTCTTCGCATTAACCCTAAAAAGAAAACTTTCATTTATCAGATAAAGCATTTCTTACATATATCCGAATTGATTGGCTAAGGAAAAACTTGTCCATCCATTTCTGCAAGAACAAGTGCTCCACCAGGCAATATCTTCTTGACAATAAAAGGGCGCACCAATTTGGTACAAATTTGCCCTTAGCCCTCTCTTGCACTGGCAACATATGTTTCAACACTTTATCTCCTTCTGTGAATAGTCGTGGCTTGCTCTTCTTATTGTGCCACTCTTTCTACTTTTCATTCAACTGAATGCTAATTTTATTCCCTTGACATTGACCCTAGTCCGGTTCAAGCTTCTCTTTATACCATTCGGGCCGTTTTGAAATATTTTCGGATGTCCCCTTATTACTCCTTTCGTTTTGAAATTTAAATTCACATTCATGAGATATTGCTACCATCAAACTTCGGCACAGTGATATCCAAAAAGGTCAGAGAATTTTATTCTTGGCCATTTGAAAAGAATACGTAAGTAACACGGTATCTATAAAACTGTACATTTTATTGCATTTTAAGAAAGAAACAAAACCTAACTTAATATCATGTTACTTGCGAAACGAAACACGTCTTCGAAAACCAGTTGATTGAAAACTATAAAAAAACATGGTCAAATAAAAGACACATGTATGAATGATTTTTCATTGGCTTTAATCAAAACAATTCCCCAGATTTATTGAAACTTCTCTTCCAGAGGGAGGAATCTCACTAATTCAGCCCCTTCCAGGATTTTCAAATTTCTTCATTTGGGATCCTTGTGTTCGGAAAGAGGATTCGCACTTGTGCTCGGTCCTTGTTCTTCCGTTTTCCTGAACACTATATCTTCTGCATCGATCATATCCTGAATTTTCTGCTTTATTACCTAACAGTTGTTGGTTAAGTGATCGAGTGCTCCAGAATGATAGACACAATTAGCTAGAGGGTCGTACCCAGCAGAGAAGCCCCGACGAGGGTAGTTTGGAGGAAGTATGTCATCAATTTTACCGGCGGTCTTGAGCTGTTCGTATAGTTGGTTAATGCGTCTGCCTAAGTTGGTAAAAGTTCGAGATCGGCCAGGATTTTGTATTTTATTAGTTTGAGGATGGTTGTAGGTCTGTTTGTTTGGTGGAGCAGGTCTGGGATTATAAGGTAGACGAGATCGAATTTGAGGGTTAGTTTGAGATATTGGGAAAGGCATTGTAGGTGGATTTGCATAGTTTGACCAAGGGCGAGGGTGATTGACAGTAGTATGATAAACAGGGCATGGGTTTGGGTAGTATGTGTAGGGCGATGAATATATGGGGTATTGCTGAAATTTGGGTAGGGAAGAAGGGCCTTGGCCCTACACCAAAGTATTTTCTCTTTCATTCTCCTTGAATTGGGGCTCCCTTCCATTTTTATGACCTTGCAAGGCGTCTAACTGTGATTTTAAAGCTGATACATTGACGATTTTTCCTGCTTTGACATATTTGTCGTACTCCTCCAACTTATTGATAATCGCTGCAAATGAACACCCTGTCATGCGCAAAATCTCCTCAAAATATGGTGGGTCGTGAGATTTAATGAAAATACGACAATTTCCTCTTCAGACATTGGAGGTTCCACCTTGACAGCCAATTTCCTTCATCTCTTTGCATATGTCTTGTGGTTCTCAGATGGTTTCCTCTTAGTTCCCTCCAATGTGGTGGTACTCGTCGGAGCGAGCTCGCAATTATATTCGTACTGCCTCACAAAAGCGGTTGCTAGATCAAACCAAGATCTCATATTCTCAGGCTTCAAGTTGGAATACCAATCCAACACGTCGCCTTCTAGACTCTCGGGAAATAGGCGCACAGGCAGATTTTCATCATCTATCGGCCTCCCTAGTTTGTTTGCAAACATCCGAAAGTGTGTCTTAGGATTGCCAGTTCCGTCATACTTGCTAAATTTGGGCGCTTTGAAACCCACTGGCAATTGCATATCCGGAAATAGGCACAGCTCGTCGTAGTCCAGACCTCTTTGTTTGCTCAAACCTTGATTTTTCCTTATGAACTCCTCAAACAGTTCCAATCTCTTTAGCAAATTCTTTTCAATTGGTGCGGAAGATTTTCCAACTTCAATTTTTCCTTGGGCAACAGTGTCTAGTATGAATGGTTTTGAAGTAGGATGGTAATGTGGTCCTTGAGGTTCGAATAGCATGTTCATACCAACCGTCGGATAATTTTGGAGAATTTGGGCGTACGAAGAGTTGGTTTAAATGTTAGGTGCGTAGGTAGGTGGTGGGCCATGGATGGGATAGGTGAAAGCTTCTTCAAGTGGATGTGGAGGAAAAAGGGTTTGAGTACGAGATATGGATAATGGTCATGGTTCATTTTGACTAACAGGTACAGGCTCATGTTGAGTACTGCTATCATGTCCAGCAACTAATTGATCTACTACGTGCCGTTGTGCATTCATTTCCATACTCAACTCATTGAATCTGTTTAGTACTTCGCTCAGTTGAACTCCTAGATTCGCCAAGTCAGTTGATGATGTCGTTATAGGCCTATCGGACGATTCCGAGTGCGTACTCATGTTTACACAATTTCTCAAAACCCGACTATGAGATCGTGCGACGATGGGGTTTCTTCTTGTAGCTATGTTTGCAATTATCTGAAAATTTAGAAAAACCCTTTTTAGATTCCCCTTTGATTAACTGCTGCCAAAAAGAAAAGAAAGAAAAAGAAAAAGACACGAGTTAGTATATATTGAGGCAATTCGGAT